CTTTTAAACAACTCGGCAAAGCACTCATCGGATGTCATCTATACCAGGCGAATCCGGGCAAGGTTTTAATCATGAATGCCCAATAAATAGGTACGGTTTCCTGGCAATCACGATATTTGTAAACACGGCCTCGTCTTCTCTGTACGTGCCGGAGGTACGCAGAGTGCGGACGTCTATGAGAGACTGCCGCGCTACGTTCAAAACCGAACCTATTAATTGTCAGTGCGTGAAATTTGTATATTTTGAGGGTCCCGCACGACAAGCGATAAAAACGCAACCACTGATATCTTTTTAATGTCCGTCTGTATACGTTAGGGCCCTTTTTCTCAAGAATGGGTCTCTCTCTTTCCCCATAAAAGACTTCTATGTAAAGTTTAAAGCGGTCAGGAGGTACCGACATAATATAACCATGTGTTATCTTTTAACTTAAAATCACACAATTTCGCAAAAATTAAAAAAGAGTTCGCAGCAAAATTGTCAAAATAAAGTCCTAGAGTCTAAAGTCCCAAGTTCTAAAGTTCTAAGAAATGATAAGGTTGTTGTTGATAGTGATAACAGGCTAAAATTACATTTTTAGCTTTTGAACGGAACCCTCAGAGCGCGAAACTTACTCGTTCTTGACTAGTTTTTTTTTCTATAATCAGTACCAAAAGTAACCAATAAAACTTAAAAAAGTAACTTGCACACTTTTAAGTCTCTTTCTTATTCGCTTTGTATGTTGAAATCATATAGCTCTTATTTTTTAGTTGTGATTAAATTACCTCAATACGCAGACTAAATTACCTCATAAAAAATAACAAAAAGTATAATAAAACAATAGATCGATAAAACGATATGTTGGTAACAAAATCAATACGACAGATTATATAGCATTAGTGTATTATTTATGCATTTTCATATCTATAAATACCAAACCGGCACCCATTTTTAGGTTAACCTTAATTTGAAATTGACAAGTTATTAAGTGATAACCACCGTCCATGGACATTTGCAACACCCGTAGTGTTACAGATGATGGTTGCGGGCTGCCACCTTGTAATATTCTTTATTCTGCCCCCAGACCACTAGACGCTAGATATATTATAGACGCTATTCGCTAGACCAAACGCAGATGTATAACACTTCCACTTCACGCCGGTATTCTATGAGGTCCTGATACTTCCCCGGCAGACGAACCTGCCCATTGGTATACCAGCGAAGACTGTGGCGTGGCACTACCATAATAATTTAGTTTGTTTATGCTAATGTTACATCTATTATTGGCATATCTTTTTTTTGTAATACTTCTTAAATATACGTACTCACACATACAGCTTCACTTTAGAATGTGCTCAATAGATTGTTAAATCACATCTTATTTAACATCGATTTTACAATATTGAAGTATTTTATGAATATAGCTAATTAATTAATAACAATATTATATTTTTATTTCAGATAATTTGTAATCCATATACAAGTTAGTAAAACGGAAACTTAAAATTAATGCCATGACAGTAAATATTTTGTACCCAACTATTGGGTAACTGATGAACATGCATAAAGATCCTTTTCATATTAAAAACAAACATATTTTATAACTATGTTATCGTATTTAATTTTAGCCTAAAAATGTGGAGTACAATAAGCTCTACGTTTATGAATGCTCTTCTGATGTTACTAGTAAAGTCTTAAAAGGTTTTATTTTCATGAAGTGGAAAGCGCCCAATGTGTGTAGCTTTTCAAACGGTTCGGATGGTAAGTGAGCTCAGATACTGCGTGTCTGTACCACGACAATAACTAGTGGCATAGTCGTAGGATGCCTTAACTAAATTTACGCTTACTCTAATAACGTCCCGTAAGAAACTTCATTATGATAAATTATAGTAAATTGAGAAAGGGTATAGATTTTATAGAACACTCAACTGAAATCAAAACACTTACTAATATATTATCACTAAATTGAATTTGTCAACACTATTGTAATTTCAATTTAAAATCAGTAAATTACGAATCATGTGATTAAGCGTAATATTAATACCAAAAGGCAACGTTAACCACTTTATTTAAATAAAAAACAATAACTGTATATATTCGTATGACACCGAAAGAAAAACAAACAAAAGACAACGAAAAAAATCGTATGAAATGTTAAACTAATAATATGGTATCAATTATACGTCTCCTGTGTAAAGATAAATACTATAATTAAGTTTACGCAGAAGACGTATGTGTAATTGATTTGATACGGGATTTTCCCCAATCCCATAATAGCTATATCGCATTTGACATTATTCCGAACTATGATGGATCGTCAGGGGCATACCCAAAAGGTGACCAGTCCCTTTTCTAATCAACTTGTGTTTAAGTATTTACCAAATATCACAAAATGAAAATTAACATTAATATAAATTACACAGAATTATCACGAGAGACGTTTCCTTTTAATTCAGAACTTTTTAGACGGAAAGTCAGGCTTAATCCGTGCTTGCCACGATGTTTTTATATTTCTTTTGTATTCAAACTGTACATTAAATACTAGTCTACAACTTAATTCCAGGAGGGACCAAAACACTTATCTGTAGGCCATAGAAATTATTTGCGCAGTAGCCGATATGCTCAGCAGCTCACACCTTTGGTAGTGAGCGATATGGCAGTGGATGTAATGTTAGATGATAACCACCGCCCAAGGACATTTGAGACACCCGTAGGGTTACAGATAACTAAAAGTAAAGTAAAATAACGGCCTTTATATCCCGCCACTGGGCAAAGGCCTCCACTGTAAGTTAAGAGGGTATTAGTGCAGAGTCCACCACGCGACCCCACTGCAGATTGGCTGACTTCAAATTGAAACATTTGTTTTTGTGATTATTTCGATAATATGCAGGTTTCTTCACGATGTTTGTCTTCACCGCTGAGCACTTGATAAGTCAGTCACAATTTCATTGGTGCCGGCGCCGGCGATGGAATGCAGGTTGTTCAAGTATATTAAATTAAAGAAGAGTTCCCGGACACTGAGGTGTTTTTTTTTGTTTGTTTGTTTGTTTTTTTTTAAACAAAACGTTTTGTCACGGCTCACAGATACGTAGCCACCTCTTAATAAAGTGAGATCGGGATACCTCACTCACCAGATGAAACGCAGAAGTATACCACTTCGACTTCTCGCCGGTATTCTATGAGATCATGGTACATTCCCGGATGGACCTGCCTATTTTTATAACAGCGAAGACCGTTGCTTATATACGAGTATATATACACAGGGGTGTCTCCTGTTCGAGTCCAGATGATGTTTTTTTTTTAATACTTTCCCTTTTTTTCAAGTTCCTTCTTTTGTAAGAAAAAAATCCGAGCAAAGCTCAGTCATCCAGTTACTGTACATATTTTCAGCTCAATCTGATGAACGACGCACGAACGCTTACAAAACGTACACATAAATAGTAAATTATAATAGTTAATATGTATATATAATATTTTTATCTATATAGAAATATTTAAGGATATACAATATGTAAAGACTACAATTTACGTACATACTTAATATAATACTAATCATAATAATTTTACCAAATTACTGGATACGACACACTATGTTGATAATTTGATATTCCAGTTATTTAGATAAAAAACATGTAAGTAAAACTGTATTTGTACAAATTCAACGTATTTTAGAATACTACTTTATAAAAGCATATCTATTGTTTGTCAAGACTTATTCCCAACAAAATCGTGAGTGTCGTCTCAAAATAGGTCAAGATGGCTGCGACTTAAAGACAATGGCACGACGCGAATCAAATTTATGTAACATATTAAAATACACTTTAGAACAGCGAAAAAAAATGTTAGTCTTGTAATAAATAAAATATGCCAAGTGTCCTCTTAAGAAATATTTTTATTTGTCATATTATACCTATTATGTTGTAACCATAAGCATTATACAAAACAAAAGGAAACTTAACCAATACAGGCTAAATGATCGAATCGCAAGAACATTTCATAAACGAATTCTAATTAAAATTAATATAACACGGACAATAAATATGAAATACATCTTACAATGCAATGTATTTAAAATCTCCTCCATAATTAGGTTTCTTAATTTTGGCGGAGGATATCTTGAAAAGAAAATGAGTCATCGGTGTAGAAAATGTAGAAAAATAAAAAATTATGTTGGCTATTTTTTTATTGAATCATTCACTGGTGTTTTTAGGACCTTTACGTATCCAACGGGCTTGCGGTGGTCGGGCCCTGGGGGCGCCTAGCCTAAACCTCGTTTATGAGTGACTAAGCTAATAGGCTCCCAAGAAAGGCTCGGCTCGGGCCATCACTCTATTAGAATCGTCACTCTATTAATATCGGATTGGAAAGCTCATGGGTCGCTTTGGTGAACTCTCCATGGAGTTACTAAGCGCAGGGGTCCAGTTTCTAACCTGGATCACGTGTTGACCGAAGTTGAGCTTAGAGTCAGGGACAACAACTAAATATTTGACTTTATTGCCCCATAGTACTGGACTATACTTGAGCATGACGAATGAATGGTTGGGCAACTAAAGGCGCGAGAAGTAGAGAACTGCGCTTTTGACGAGATTGATCTCAATCGACCATTGACGGAACCAGTCACCGGTCAAGGTAAAGGCTGCGTAAGCGATTTAAGGTCGAATATGGCTTATCCTCCGGCGTTGAGATCCATGGCACAATGCTAATAGGGCTTTTTGTGCGCCTTCTGGTCATGCGGTGGACCGCAGCAGGTACGGGGAGATTTTGTTGCTAGATAGAATCCATAAAGGATTGCATTATCTCGTCTGTGGAGTAGTATATGAAGGATCCGCTGTTCACTAATTTTGTATGTGTGGTAGTATACTCCTATATACCTCCTTTCGCGGAGGAATTGAGAAACTTTTCTGTGTGCTTCGGCTGTTTCCAGCTACAGCTCGATTCCTTAAGTAGTGGGAGTTGCAATGAATTTTATGTCGCTATAAGCTATGTGAGAGTGGCCTGTGATGGCCCTGCCTCATTGATTTCGAATGGCTTTGGCGACTTTACAGGCATGGGGTACGGGCGCGGAGGCAGGCTGGGAGTTGCGCTTCTTACGCTTCTTCTTGTTGAGGATTTTAGTTAAGTCGCTGTCGTTGGAGTCGGGGTTGCCCTCTGCGAGTCGAGGTCTACTGGTAAAACTGCTCTTCTCAGAGCTACTACTATCTTGATTCATATCGGGGCTACACTGATAACTTAAAAAGAGTTCGCATAAAGAATGTCATTTGTAATACACCACACATTTGCTATTTAGTACTTAGCACGTTAAATTTCAAAGTATAAATATAATCTAAAACTTTTATAAACCTTAAAGACATGGCTAGCGGGACTAGAATGAAAGTTCACGCACACAGTCCCTTCCCGATCCGATAATTTGTCTACATTACGTACAAATTATTTTTAAACTTCGAAATACTTTTTATCACTTGGACAGCAATCTCTTTTTGTCTTTAAGATAATCAATCATTTAGAACACGGTGGTAGGGCCACGCAGCGGCCTCGGCTAATCTAACAGAAGACCGGCGTAAAGTGGAAGTATAATACTATCGCGTTTCGTCTGGTGAGTGAGGTAGCTGGAGCCCAATTTTCAAAAAGTTGTCAACGCATCTGCAAACCCTTGGGTATAGCAGATGTCCATGGGCGGAGGTATTCACTTAACATCAGGTGAACCACCTGCTCGCTTGGCAACTATTCACATAAAAAAAGACATCTGTTGTGCCAATACATAGAGACAAACGCGTACGAATTTTATCACAGTTACAAAGAGATATTTTTTTTACAACTTGGCACAGTTGTTGCTGAATATTCTGTGTTCAAAATCTCTTTCTTATTCTTGCATTGGTCATATAATATGTGACCATGGAATGAATAGATATTATCTTTGTTAGAAAGAGAAGTGCAGACATGTAACACGTTGAGTAATAGGCAAATTCTTTGAGGGTCTCTCTTCTGAAAATGTTTGGTAATCCATTGATATCCATTTTCTATTCATTTTCCCACTTTTATCCATTGCATCCATTGATATAATTTTTTATACAAATCCATATTTTGAATTAAAAGGACACACTCGATTCATTTTATTTGTAGTCAGTGGTAAGGTGTCCTGAAGTAACGTCACCCGTGGTCCCGTGCTCTATTATTTATATTGATTAACCGTAGTGATTACATTCTCTTTGTATTGATTAATGATCTGGCTCGCTCGATTTTAGTATACAAATATTTTCATTGGTAGGGAAATATAAACGAAACAAATTATGAAGTTAAAATTGTTGCAGACATTTAAATTTTCAGAAAAGAGAACAACAAATCTTGCAATAATGACGGCGTCGTTCTGCGACGTATCCATAATAAAAAAAATGTACATTTAACGAACCTAACCAATCCGCTTGAAATAAATAAATGTTGAACCTAATTTATCTTAATTTATAAATAAAAAAATTTAAGGTAAAGAATAATTTTAATAAATATCTAAAAAAAAATGAACATCTAACGAACCTAACCAATCCGATTGAAATAAATAAATGTTGAACATAATTTATCTTAATTTATAAATAAAAATTTTTAAGGTAAAGAATAATTTTCCGCTGTAGGTATTTTCCAACAAAGTAAATATTTGTATAACTGTACGCGAAGTAATAGCAAAATTTTTCAGTGCTTAGTTATCGTTTAAAATATTTGCTAATGAAAAAAGAATGTGACGCTTTTCTAGAGTTTTGCGATTTAGGTCTATCGCTAAATTGGATTGTCAAATTATCATCACATCAACCATAATTATTACCATAACCAGTATATATGTATCAAAGAGAATGTAATCACTACGTTTGATTTATGTATTATCTATGACCAAACCATATGATTTTGACATACGTCTAAAAGCAAAAACAGGGTTATTCAATACAGTTCAAAGAGTACTATTATATACCTTAAACAGTTACAAACTTATTATTAAATGAATGCAATGTTCTATATTTGAAGTTGCACAAATAAAATCAAAATGACTTCGGTTGTAGCAGATCGTCCTCGTGATTGCATGGGCTGTAGGATTGTAGGTGCAGCCGGTCTGATTGGTATTGGCGCTTACCTTGCGAATGTTGCATGGAAAAACAAAACCTTTGTAGGAAGAATAACATTCTCTACTATATCACTTGGTAAGCAGTAAGGAAATAATGCTCGTAAATTGTCAATAACAACCAGGAATAATCCTTCAGCAAAGGCTGTTTACAGTTAGTGAATATTCCATTTCAAATGCAAATATCTTTATTCAATATCACAGCATTTCGCTTACTTATTGAATGTTAAAATACTACTGATGGTTTGGAAAAGCCAGTGACCTGAGAAGAATGAGCAAAAGAAACTCAGGAAGACAATTTTTTGTCTATCCAATTATTTGACGATAAATTACGTTAACTATATAATTATTATAGCACTCATTAATTAACCTTGGAGCAATTAATTTCCAGAGTCTGGTATCATTTAAGTATACACTAATTTAATAATCTTTTAACACACAAACATTCCTTTATTGTCTTGAATTCAGCAACTGATATATTTTGAAAGTTTTCTGGGATTTTGTTGTTAAAACATGTCCCTTAAGTGATAAACTTAATAGAAACAGTCCAAAAATAATTTTTGTTTGTTCTTAGTATTTATATCATGCAGATTACTATGTCTTGAAAATTAATTTCATGGATATATATAACATTAACTTTGTTTAGGGTTAAGCTCGCTTTTGTGCAGTCTTTTTTGTAATCCTTTATTTGAAACTGTATTTTTTTTTTGTGTACAATAAAGAATAAGAACATTTTAGAGTATGTAAGCTGAAATAAATGACTTCTAATATCACTTATGTAAAATAAATCACAGCTTCTTGTTATAAGTCTCCTAAATTAATGATGTGCTAATACCACCTATGCAATTAGTGATCTTTTATCTTCTCGTCTTATAAATCATAATTATTATGATTCCCTGACTAAGTTCCCATTGCTCTAAATAAAATCCTCTAATTAAGGGTCTTCCCTACGACTCGGGCTTCATCCCATTTATATTTATATTTTTTATTTAAATATATTTCTTATTCCTATTAACATGCATTAAATTTTGCATTTTATATTAAGTTTTTCTCTTTAATTAATTCTGGGTCTTCTTGTAACTTTGTATCACCATTTACATTGACTGATAGAGAATGTCTTAGGCATAACAACTGCCAATACACATGTTCTCTGTAAGAAATAAATATATATCTAGTTTTATTTTTTGAATTGCCAGAAATGCAACAGGTATCTACAAAACAAACAGTTTTAAGTTTTAGTTTAATGTGATGCTCATTTGTATTAAAAGTTATATTATCTATTGTTACAGCTTTCGTCACTTTAGGTGTTCAAAGGTATAAACAAGAATTTCCGTTTGAGAAGAGGACAGAGAAATCATAGAAATAGTCATAAAATTGAAACGACTAGATTAAACTACTATAATTTATAATTGCAAGTTTGTTAGGTACTATCAATTCAAACTTCAAAAACTATGAGTACTTTTGATGTATTTACCATGTGAGAATAATATTATTACTTTTTTATATATGTACTTGAAATCTTTGGTTATATACGTCTTGTCTTGAAACAATCGTTTAACATATTTTTTTGTTGTGTCCACGCCATCTATGACATGTATGCCAAACTAAATATTTGAAACTTTGTGAGTTTATTTTCATATATTGTTAATAGATGTCACTGTGTACAATAAATGTATATTGTATATATCGTAGTTAGATGCATGGAAGGAGAAAATCTGTTTGTAAAACATGTCCATCAAAAAGCGTTGCCAAAAATTGCCGGCACTACTGTGGCAAATGGGTACTACACCTTTGCTAGCTAGCTGGCACTATTCAGGTGATTTTTGGAACTATTATTTACTGCTTAACGCCGAATATTTTTTCAAATTATCCCCATATAAGACAGTCCTCCATACCCCCACTCTCCAGAATGCCATAACCAGTATATGCCAGAAAATAAAGCTATATACCGTATTATAATTACATGGATGTACATTGTACAATATATATTGTCTTACTAGGAATGTAACTATGATACGAGCACGATCTAGTAATATATTGATCTTACTAGACTAATTGTTGGTGTAATTATAAGTTTTTTTTTAAATAAAAGGGTACAATCATATATTACATTAATACCTATTTTTATTACTCAGCCCTCACAAGAAAAACAAACAATTTTATTAGTAGTAATTAAAATAATTAGCTCCATGATACATTAACTCCATAATACCCGTCAAATTTCAACCTCCTGTAACCAAATCTATCTGTAGATAGAATATTGAAAACAGCCGTGACAACTTAATATGTTGTGTAACTCTCAGCGGTTCTCTTCGTGGTTACAGGATCAGTAAAAGTAATATCTTTTAACTGCATCGCATTTCTGGGTAGTCTCAAATCAATCTTCAATTACCACCCGAAGTAGGTACTAACTTAATATCTTTCCTTTCGCTTTTCTAAAACTTTTTTTATACATTTCCCTTTTTATCCAGTGATCAACGGTCTACTTACGATAACCCAAACAGATATCTAGATTAATGTCGCGAAATTTTTGAGGATTCTTTTATTCATTGTTTCATTTCATCTCTGATCCTTTCTTGTAATTCTTTTCTAATGTTCTCAATTAATAATACTTTTTTCGTTGTTGCATAAAATGCGCAATAGTCGCGACCGAAAATCACATGTCAATATTCTACAAATAAAATTAACATTCCATACACATTCTTTCGGTTGATACCAAACTGTGAACTGTTGGTACATAAAAATGGCGTCAAAATAAATAAGCTGACGATAGTTTCATTTAATTATGATGTCAAAAACCACAGAGATTGCAAATGCTGTAAAGTACTCCAAAGTAGGGTATAATTAAAATTGAATATGTTAACATACAAAAAAATCATTAGGTTCAATTTATAATATAAAAGAAATCATAGTTTTAGTTAGTGGTAGTTATCAGTGTTATTAATAATGTCTCACGAAAGTTTTAATAATTTTAAATCTAGTGTTGTTGGCTATTGACTTTTATAGTTTGGATAAGATGACAAGTAAAATTGACCATAAGTACAAATTGTAATCCATTCATTTATAAAATTGTAAAATTTTTTAAATCTATTATATCAAAAACAAGAGTCGACTTTGATGGGGATTTTAATCAACGTGTTGACTACTTGATACCGTAATGGTGCCGCCGTAAACAAAGGCTGACCTTTAAGCAAACTTAATAGCTACCTTTACAGTCGGCAATGAGTTCGGTGAACTCGGGATTAACCCCCGCATAACCGATAAGCCGAACGGAACAATATCATAATTACTTTTCACAGGCAAAATAGCAGGGTGTGCAGATCTATGGCTGACTATCTATAGATCTATATTCATATCGGGAGTCAAATGATGAGTTTAATGAAATATCATCCAAGTGATCATCATCCTCCAGCCCTTATCCCACCTAGGTGGGGTCGGCGCAACATGTGAATCATGTTGTAAGCGGTTTTGGGAAACAAACACCCAGGCCCGGAACAATTATAATTATGTGGGTTACACAAATACTTGTTCCGTGTGGGAATCGAACCCACGACAATCCTAGAAACGTCCACGTGAAATTTATGTTTTTAAAATGTCCTTACAACTCAGGATAACGTTATCCTAAAGTGAAGGCAATATTTTATAAATATTCAAAATTATTAAAAAAAAATTTTTTTTACTATGAGACATTTCTTTTGTGATATTAGAACATAATTTTCTAGATTCCGGCTAGTGGTTTTTTTGGAAAGATCTTTTGTGCGACCAATCCCTATAAATGCTAATCTTAAACAACCGATCACGAAATCAGGTTAAGCTCGCCGATTCGAAGCAACCAGAGCGTACAAGAGATTGCTAGCATGCGGCTTCTGCTTAATGTCCTCGCAGTTTTTCTTATAGGCTAGTGACCTATCCAGAAAGACACCGAAATGCTTAGGACAGTCGGCATGCTCTATGGGCATTCCATTATATGAGCTAGCAGCCCGCTTCTTTGTTGCATAGATGAAACACGCAAGCTCAGGTTCGGGTTATCGTCTGGCCTGGAGTTAGTACACCATTCTTTTGAGTTATCTAGTGACGTATTTTTTTCTTTTTGTTTTTTTATTATGTGAAAAGTTGCCAAGTGAGCAGATGATTCACCTGATGTTAAGTGAATACCGCCGCCCATGGACATCTGCTACACCCCAGGGTTCCAGGTGCGTTGACAAACTTTTGAAAATTAGGTTCCGGCCACCTCACTCACCAGACGAAACGCGAAAGTATTATAATTCCACTTTACGCCGGTCTTCTGCGAGGTCGTGTTACTTACCCGGACGAGCCTGCCCATTCGTACAACAGCCGAGGCTGCTGCGTGGCCCTACCACAGTGAAATTACTTCCACCGTTTATCGGACGGCAACGATTATGCAAGATATCGCGGATAACGTTTACATATTTTCTGTAATTAGTAATGGACTCCACCTTTCACAGCAATCGTCTACGGTTAACGGTAACCATAAGATGCAGACCGATCGACGAACTCAGCACATGTAACCACCATCCCTGGGTTGTACCCTCATTTCTATCAGCTGCTGTTAAAAGAGGCCCCTAATTTGTGATTATGGATCAGACTCAGATCATGCGACTTATGGTTTTTGTATATATTTGAAAAGTCGCCAAGCGAGCAGGCGGTTCACCTGATGTTAAGCCGCCGCCTATGGACATCTGCTACACCCGAGAGTCGCAGATGTGTTGACAACAAAAATTTATAAAAATTTTATAACTTATAAAACTTCTGCTCCCTCTCTCTTAAAAATTTATAAAACTTCTGCTTTACGCTGGTCTTCTGTGAGGTCGTGGTACTTACCCGGACGAGCTTGCCCATTCATGAAACAGCGCGGGCTGCTGCGTGGCCCTACCACAAATAAAAAATCAGGAAGATTCGATCCCCGATTGTTCATTTATCTACAAAAATTTACATTTAAAGTTTAATCTTGAGTGCAGGAAATTAGCACTTAAATAAATGTGAATCCGAAAAACTACAGTTCTTCCTGTACCTAGTCCTGATAACTTTAGTTTTTAATGTTTAAATATACCAACATACAATAGCGAACATCTTTCTTCGTTCTCGGTCAAAAGAGAGCACGCGTCCCATATTAAAAGAAACATGTAGGTACGCCGACCGCCATCGAGGCTTCGCCAATCTAATCAATTTAGCGATAAATGCTCCTCCGCTGAGCGTTTTCTCCATTTTCCAACTTGTTCGAACGGCGACGTATATGGAGCACATTTAGTTCATATCGTATACGTGAGGCAACTGTCAAGTGTACGGGGAGATATTTCACGCACACAAACTTTAATTGGCCCGCGTTCAGGGAACTTCTGAAATTTCTTTTCAAGTTGCTCTTTATTAGACGTTATCTTTCCGATATAACAATTATCATTCCTCTCGCCTAAGGGCCTATACAACAGCAGACTGGTAGCAGATGCACTGCAAACCATTAAAAAATATTTGCCAAGTGTGAGTCGGACTCGCAATTGTTCGAAATTTGCGAAAGTTGCGAAAGTTCCTTAGCATTATCTATAAAAACGGAAAAAAAAGCCATGTCTGTTGTATGGGAGCCGCCCCACCTAAATATTTTTGATTCTTTTTTTAGTATTTGTTACAGCGGCAACAGAAATAATTAATGATCTGTGAAAATTTCGACTGTCTTACTATCACGTTTCATGAGATACAGCCTGGTAACAGACGGACAGACAGACAGACAGACTGCGGAATCTTAGGAAATAGGATCCGTTTTACTGCTCGGGTACGGAACCCTACGAATACATACTCTGAAAAAACTATGAACTATACTTGGTTATATTTGGTATGTCCAAAGATGGAGAAGAAACCGCCTCTTGTAAATATAGCCTTGTTAATTACACATTTACTTATAAAATCAAAGAACAGATAAACAACATGTTAATATAGAACGTAGACGTCTTATTTGTAAATGCTATCCTCTTTTTATTGAAACTGATAATAAACCTTACCTAACCAAACCAAATATAACCTTTAACGCTTCAAAGTGAGCCCAAATTAACCGCAAATTCGACCATGACCGAAGAGGAGCAGCTTCCACGCAAGTCTTTGGAGATGAAAATTCAATCGACTGAATATTTTTCGCCCATGGGTGCCTTTTAGCCAGGGATAACATGCACGCTATAAATTATGAACTCAACGCAGATAGCATGAACATAGGATATACAAAATACTTAGAAACTTAGAACTAGATTGAATGAATGAATGAATTAATGAATACTTTATTGTCCACCACACATAAAAGGATACACAAAATTAACAATAGACAAGCAAATTAATATTGAATTTATTTATAGATAGTGTTGAAAGAGTAATCGGGTGATAAATAAAATAAAGGACGCGTAAAACATAAACAATAAAACACAATGTTTTAAAAGAAAAGTCGCAAAATATGAATGAGAGAAAATGAGAAGAAATAAGTGTTCGAAGTTTTCAACTTTATAAGTGATTCAAATGATGAAAACAATAGCCAATTCTAGTGTCTACTCTCTAATAGTTCATAATATTATAATTATATTAACACACGATGCCAAACTTTTAGAAACTTAATAAATTTGGTTAATGATTATCAAAGACATGCTAGCTTGGGGTTGTATTGTATTTGTTAACGTCAATTGCACAATAACATAAACCAATTCTATTTGATGCCTTTTGTCTAGTAATAATGACGTGATTTGATGTCTTTTTTTTTGTATATTTTTTTGTCCATTGTGGCTGGTATGTCGATTTGCTACATTATTTTGTCAAAAAATAATGAAATTTTATTTTGTTTAATAAGATTAATATAATCTAAAAACCGTTAGTAGTATAGTATTATTTAAAAAAAAATGCTTAATATTCATTACTAGCTTACTATATCTCACAATTAATGGTACTATGTTTTATTTTATTTTATACATCAACTTACAAATATCATAACAGGCTGTACCTAATGCGATAGTGAAGTTCGAATAAAGTTTAAGACAACATATTAGCCATAATTATAACTAAAACTAAATACTGATAACATGGAAGGTAGCCAATGTGAACTCGTGTTGTAATGTAGCTCAATTAGCTACTGTATCTATTATATATATATAATGAAATGTGTTAGTCACAACACAACAAAGTCGTCCCGCTGTCTGTCTTTCCATATGTATGCTTAGATCTTTAAACTACACAACAGATCTTGATGCGGTTATTTAATAGATAGAGTGATTCAAGAGGAAGGTTCATATGTATAATACATTGCACCCGTGCGAAGCCGGGAAGGGTCGCTAGTTTAAAATACAAAACGCGCGAGTCGGTGGTGCAAACCGTAATAAATTAGTCCGTGACCTAGGTACAAATAATAGCATCGGCCACGTCCTCCTCCTCAAATAGGTATCCTTCAGGTACGCATAACCTCATCTGCTGCAATACTATCAGATGATTTATTTTGCCACGCAATATCTTAAAAAGGTACATGGCTAGAAAAACTTCCCTCATCAATTCAAGTGTACTATATCCTACCATACCCAGAACAAATAAAGTACGATATAGTACAGGATATTACAGGTATTTCTATACTCTATATCAATATCTAACAACTATGTTTTTTAAAATATACCATACGTAATGTTGACAATAATAATAGTAACAGTAAAACAATTGAGAATCCTCCACGTTGCAAGGGAAGATTTCCTCTACTAAATAAAAAAGGAGAATTAAACCATTCAAAGGGTAAAAACGGGACAACTGAAACACATAAACGCATATCCCGTTAAGCTCTGTCATACTGTGGAGGTATTCCGACATAAAAATAAGATCGAAGCATTCTGCCAGTGACACGCTACGGCCCAATGCACGATAGACGCCATTGCTTCACGCTTCGCCATAGCATCACCGCGCATCGACATTAGGCGATTGTGTCGACGCAATAAAGTCAACATTGCTACACAGATCACGGCCCGCTAGCAAGTAAACAAGCCGCCCTAATGATAAGACGCGCGACGCCCAACCGACGTCCAGTCGCGCGCGCCCGCCCGCCCAACGCACGTGTCCGCACCACAGACCACAAATACAAAATTTTATTCGTCCCCACTTTAAAATATCTACGAAAGCGTTTCCCGGAACTATGGGTAAGTTCTGTTATCGTTATTTCTTTTCTATTTTACGTTTTAATTATTCTCTCGTCGATTTTTCATAAAAACATATGGCAGTGTTTATTTATTGTGGTTTCTTTAAACCATTGCCGTTTGGATTTGAATTTGAATCGGAAAAGGAAAATTGCATTGGTATTATTTGGTATATTTGCGAAGTAATAACAGCTAATGAGTCTATGAACTTTTACCGATTCCACGTCTCGCTCAATTTATGTATGACGCCAATAGTGCCAACAGTCTAATCTACATAATGTTGATGGAGAGTCGCGTGGAAAATGCTTTCTCAAAGCGACTGTCTGATATGAATACATTAAATACGTCGTTACACGACTTGCGTACGTGTCAATTATTTTCAGTTATCTAGGATACAACATCATTCTCGTACGAAAAGCCCAATAGTGTATAACGGTTTAGATAGAAAATTTCCACTAAACAACATGTCGTCTATGGAGGCAGATTAAATGTTACGTTATTCATGTGTAGCTAATTTCGTTATCGGACAGATAAGCCGTGGGGAAATCGCGGCGAGCGCGGTGGGGCACCTTGGTCTGACGAGTACGGTGCTGAGGAGCCGAAGGGACTTTGGAGGGGGGCGTCCACCACTGCCGCTGTGGAGGAGTTGAGTCCTCAAGCGCGTATGGCCGTGGAGCGGTGGAGCGACAGCGGAAACGCGTGGAGCGCCGCGCTTGGAGCGGCAGCGGGAGCGGGCACAATACTTCTGCTCGCGGCAATCCTCCTGCTGTGGCGTAGACCACGCAGGACCGAACCACCAACCCTCGCCCCGATGGACGTTGGGCAGAACGTGAGTACAAAACTCGGCACTGTCACACGACCGATTTATAACACCACTTACAATGATAACGACAATATCTATCGAGTCCGCACAACGTGCAGCATTAAAAATGCAAACGTTTTGTTTGAAAATTTTCGCATATTCGGTAACGTATTAATGTATCATTCAGATGTGCTTTGCAGCATAAGCTCGACATGCTCAGGCGGGGAATAATTCATTTCATTAGTGTCTGAGTTAAATGTTTTTAATTTAAAAAAATATGAAATATCTTTACTTTACAACAGTGTTAAAATAGTTTATTTATTATTTCACGACCAAAAATCTTTTACGATTACATAATCTCCTCCGTTTTTTAATTCTTGATTGAAATTAAAGTACTTGAAGCTACTTTTGGTATCAATAAATAGTAAACGAAAACATTAAAATCTAATAAAGTTTCAAAATGATTTGATGGTGCTACGGTGAAAACCGCTACTAGTATTAAAGTTTATACAGTAATACACTGTTGTGTTAACGAGTGTTTTACGACATCTTAAGTTTGTAAATAACTATCAAATTAGGAGATTTATGTAAATAAAGCAATATTATTATTACAATCCGTACGACGTTTAATAAGTTTACATATTTTTATTTTTCAATCGGTTATTATTCATTATCTTTTTCAACATACATATAAATAAAGCTGTATCATACGTATTATGTGCAATGATGAACTTTTAATGGAAATACATAAAACAAGGCGTCCCTGTTTCGCACAAAGGTAATTAATATGGTAATCTAAGACGTAAACTTGAAACATCCGTGCTGGATATCCAATTGCGATGCTTAATCCGATCAAAGCTTCTTTATGTAATAAAGGTGAACACTGAAAGTTCGTATGTGCTATAAACTAATTTTATAACACATTTTTTATTCATATTATTATTTCATGAAGATATTGAATATATGTATAATGCAGATTTAAACCTATTTAGAACTTTTTCACTGGCATGGCTTTACGCATATTACGAAGAATTTCGGACTATGACTTGGAGAGAAAAAGCCTTAATAATTTTGCGATGAAAAGTTCGCTTTGTGAAAACTTTTCGGAATACCTACAAACGACATAAATGTTAAATCTTTTGTACATTGTCCACAGACCATTACTGGGTATAAAGGATAGTTTAGAAATATTTAAGTATACCCTGTGACTTTCAGCTGCTGACGTCTTGATCAAATAAAGAGTATAAAGCATGTCGAAATAGTAATACGATGTTACAACAAAATCTTATAAAAACTTATTAGTCGGGAGACATATTGCCTCCGGGCACAAAACACTAAAACTATCATAACTGACATTTATAAAATTTATATTTCATTATTTTTTGTCAGACTATGATGACTCGCTATGATGCTCGACTATGTTTTAACACACATAGAGGTTATAAACATTACAACATCTTAAAATGAATAATAAAATAATTACGTACTTATAAAATAAATTAATAACACTAGTGGACCCACCAGACTTGGTCCTGTACACGCGACTTAAATCCGACAGCAACTTATAAATTAAAAAAAAAACGAATTGTGAATCTAAATCATTCTCAATTCGACCTGAACGTATCTTACTAATATTATAAACGCGAAAGTTTGTATGTATGGATGGATGTTTGTTACTCTTTCACGCAAAAACTACTGAATCGAGTTTAATGAAACTTTACAATGTAGCTTATACATCAGAATAACACATAAGCTATAATTTATAAAGATATTGTGTGGATTATATATAAGTGTTACACTTACAATAATATAAGTATCAACTAAGTAGGTATCAATAATATAAGTATCAGCCATCTGCGAGATATTCTGGTGTAAAATAAAAAATTCATTGTTAATTTCCTTTGGCCGTGCGGGCGAAGCAGCGGTTAACAGCTAGTATATTATATAAAGATATTAAAAACAGTAAAGTACACAGTTACACTTTAATACAGACGCAAACCGTCTGTCTGATAAAGATCTTTTATTACTTTCAGACAGAAGGCTCCTGTGTGGTTAAGAAATTGTTAGCGTTATATTAAGTGCTGTGTTGTGTTGTTTGCGGTTTGATTGACACTTGAACCTTGACTATTTTAATGTGTAATAGTATTTTAAAAAACTCTAATACTGAATGACTGATAAAAAAAAACTGCAACTAAAGAATAGTTGTAATTTGGTTGCCCCATTTCTGATGTAAATAATTTTAAAAATCCATCATCTGCTTTTCACCATAACAAGGGTTGACTGGAAGAGAATGCCATTAGGCATTAAGTCCGCCCATTGTAGCCCTTAGCTTAAGGTGTAGCAATGAAGCTTTAATAAATAAATAAATATTTTTTCCTTTTTCACCCGACTGCGCTAGAAGGAGGGTTATGTTTTTCGAGAGTACGTATGTATGTATTATGTATTATTGTTTGACACGCTTTGCAGCCTGAACGGCTTGATGGATTTTAGCTTGAGAGGTGTCGTTAGAGTCATACTTACTGTGAAAGTGACACTGGGTATATCAAAATAAAATAATACACAGACACACAGTCGGGTTTTTTAAATTATATTCTACTTGTTGAGATTGGTATGTCCTGTTATGAATTAGACTAAATGGCTGTTCCTATTTAGGGTTCCGTACCCAAAGGGTAAAATGGAACCCTATTACTAAGACTCCGCTGTCTGTCTGTCTATCTGTCCGTCTGTCACCAGGCTGTATGGTATGAATAGTTTTTCACAGATGATGTATTTCTGTTGCCACTATAACAACAAATACTAAAAAAAATATTTTAGTGGGGCTCCCATACAACATATATGATTTTTAGCCGTTTTTATAGATACCATTGTCTATAAAAGCGGAACCTTTCGTTGGCGCTGTTTTTTTTAATATAATGTAATACAGTGCTTTACGACTACACAGGTAGTCGGAAAGCAATGGTACTTAGTCGACGATGGAACCTCAAAATTATTTAAATGATTCACCAATGTTGATCACTATCTGCAATTTGGTCTGCGTTAACAATTGGTCTAATTGGCTCGTTAAAATTTCTTGACGGCTAACTGCGGCTTCTAATATCACGAAGTAACAGGAGAGATGTATTCTGAACTTGTGCACACAGAAGCGTGCCTGTTTAATAATGTATCATTCTCCCAAGGCGTTTTCACTTTGAAGACGGTCGCGATGTTGCAAACAAAATACGTGGGAGCGGCGCACGACACACAAACGACCATCTGCATCGAATAACAAAGAAATTGAGCCATTTTGTAGTGTACACTGTACTGAATTACAGACATCACGCGAAACAATTCTTTCCTTGCATTTTTTCCGTGCATATGGCTTCATTAAATTCTTTGCGTTTGATTGTCTTTGCAGTTATAATGTTCACAATATTCATATTTTTAAGCCGCTCTTATTAACTAAAATTTGGTTTTTGTTCATAGTCTAGAATCACTAAAACCTGCAATTTATGAGTGAATAAATAAATATATTAAATGTAACTAAAATTACGTTTTGCAAACTAATAACAAAAACGCATATATTTGGACACCGGTTGACACTATGATCGGATAGTTTTTGAACGACGAAGGGATATGGGTAAACATCTAGTAGCCACCGAAAGATAACCATCTTGACTTTTCAGACTGAGGTCAATAATAAGCAACAAGCGTGGCGGGGCAAATCTCCCTTCCTTAGATTGAAAACGCAAATCCCATACCTTTTTTATTTCTTCAAAAATATCTTAGGTAAAATTTTTATTTTTAGTTCTAGTCTGCACTCTACTTGAAATTTTAAATTGTGATTTCTTGTGGATAAATGAACAAAAACTTTCGGCGTTTGTCTACAAAAAATCACAATATAAAGTTTTTTCAAAAACACTCGTACTCTTGGGGGAATATCAAGTTTATGTCTTCTTCTTCTTCTTCTACCTGGCATTAATCCCGGCTATTGCCAGGGTCTGCCTTCCTACTTAAACTTCTCCACTTTGCCCGGTCTTCGACATCCGCAGGGGTCAGTCCATTGGCTCTCATGTCCTTTTCCACGACGTCATATCCTTCCGACATAGTTTTCCGACCGGCGTGCGACATGGCCATACCATCTCAGGCGCCGCTCTTGGAGTTTATCCGCTACGTCACGAACCCCGAGACTGCCTCGAATGAATGTGCTACGTATGCGGTCAGCCCGCGTGACGCCACACATCCACCTAAGCATCTTCATCTCCGTGACGTGAAGCTCTTGAGTGTGCCGAGATAGAGCTGGCCAGCACTCGCTACCATACAGAAGTACCGGTCGGATGATGCACTTGTACACCTGGCCCTTGAGCTTGGGCGGTATTCTGCGATCGCAGACCACACCTGTAACCTCTCGCCACTTAGCCCAAGCAGCGCGTATCCGGGCTTGGACGTCATGGTCAATGCTTCCGGACTCGTGCAGAACGGATCCAAGGTACCTGAACGATTCCGACTTAACGGCTGGTTCAGAACCTATTTGGATCGTGCAAGAGTCCGAACTCCCACAAGCCATGTACTCGGTCTTCGCCACATTGAGTTTTAGACCACCGTTCTCAAGCGTACCCTTCCAGAGATTTACTTTTTGCTCCAGTTCCTGCCGGCTCTCGTCAACGAGAGCTATATCATCGGCATACATCATCAACCATGGCGGCTGGTCCTGTATGTGGGCCGATATCGCTTCGAGCACTACGTTGAACAAGAGCGGACTAAGAACCGAGCCCTGGTATACCCCTACAGTGATCGGGAAGGGTTTAGTGTCGCCAACAGCGGTCCTAACCATGGACGCGGAATCGTGGTACATGTCTCTGATAATATCAATATAGGCCTCAGGAACGCCTTTGAATCGCAATGCCCACCAGATACATTGACGAGGCACACAGTCAAAGGCCTTCTGTAAATCAAGAAATGCTAAATGCAGAGCTCTCCTTTTCTCCCTGTATGCCCCCATCAAAGTTCTGAGGGCAAAAATGACATCCACGGTGGCTGAACCCGGTTGAAACCCATATTGACATCCAGAGACAGTACACTCTCGGCGAAGCCTGAGATCGATGATGCGTTCGAAGAGCTTCATGGTGTGGCACATGATTTTGATCCCCCTATAACTACCGCAATCCTGAACACTGCCCTTTCCTTTGTAAATAGGGGTTATAAAACTGAAACGCCACTGATTCGGCATCTTTCCAGTGTTCAAGATACGGTTGAAGAGATCAGTAAGCACATCCACACCTAGAAAGCCCAACGATTTCCACGCCTCGATCGGTATGTCGTCAGGCCCCACCGCTTTCCGGTTTTTCATGCGGCGAAGACAATCCCGAGCTTCGTCAGGTGATATTGGGGCAATAAGTCCGAGGTTAGGGGGCGGTTTGGATGGAAGGCTGTGCGGGTGTTGATTGTTTAGTAGCTCCTGGAAGTAGCTTCTCCATCTATCCTTCACAGAGGCATGGTTGCATAGCAGCATGCCCTGGGAATCCCTGACGCAAAGACATTTGGTGATATCTTGCGTCGCTTTATCCCGGGCACGTGCCAGTTTGTATATGAGCTTTTGCCCCTCCGTAGTTTCTAGCTTATCGTACATTGGCAATAAGCTTTCACTGCGGGCTCTGGCCACAGCTCTTTTGCTGGCACGTTTGGCTGCTATGTACTGCACTTTGTCTTCAGGAGAGTTGGTTTGTTGCCACTCCCTAAACGCTGCCTTCTTTTTCCGTATTGCCCCCTGAACCTTATCATTCCACCACCACGTCTCCTTGTCGATGACGCGAACTCCCTTAGAAACGCCGAGAATTCGCCGCCCCGCCGCGATAATTGCCGTCTGGGCTCGATCTCAAGCCTCCTGGGCAGTTTCAGCATTAGTCAAGAGCTTATGACGTTCAACCTCTGCCAGGAAGTCGATCTGCATCGGTCCATTCAGCAACCACCACTTAATTCTTGGTTTGCGTTTCTCGGGTACTTTCTTTTTCGAGGTAAAGAAAAAGTCCATGACAAGGAGACGATGTTGGGCCGTCAGGCTTTCGCCAGGAATGACTTTACTGTTTGTCACCTTGCCAATATGACATCTTCTGGTCAGCAGATAGTCAATTTGAGTTGAGTGGGACCCACTCATATACGTAATAAGGTGCTGGTCTTTCTTTTGGAAGAACGTATTCACGACGGACAGATCACACGCAATACAGGTTCTGAGAATGTTATCTCCCTCTGCA